GCTGAGCAGTGCGGACAACCGAGAACGTCTTCAGAGCACCGAAAGCGGTTGTTTACCGCGTGTAGTGCGGTCGCTCTCGAGTGAATTTTACTACACGGTGAGAAAAGTAATAGGATAAATGGCCAAAACGTGGCTTTGCTTAATTCTGCGAGTTTCAAAGGCTTCCCTTCCCCCCCCCCCCCCCCCCCCCCCGGCCGCCCCGTTCAACGGCGGCTTTGCATGGCTCTCACAATGGGGAACAAACGTAACAATTTGATAAAAAATCTGAGACCTCGGTTGGTGACCAGGAAATCAGAAATTTTATTATTTATAGGTCATCTCTCGTTACTATTGAGCTTCGCCTCCCTCCCCAGCGACGGTTCTGACGTTCCTCCTCGTCGCCCCGCGGCAATGCAACCCCGCGGATAAATCCAGCGGGGAAACCGGCAGCGACTGGTTTTCTAGCCAGAACCGTTCGCTGACACCTCGGGGACCCAGAGAGGGGTCTGCGAAGCTGTTTTTGAGTTGCTCTGGCCCCCGTGGGACAGTGTCACCGCATCGCTAGGTGGCAGTGACGCCGCGTGGCCGCGCTGGCTCTTGGCAGCCCGCGGCGCTGGGAGTTGTCCAGAGAGGAGAGGCTTTTTCCAGAGCCCTCCTGTGTGCATTAGCTGACAAACTGCTGGAAGAGGTTTTTCCTGGAAGTTTGCATGCGACACTGCGCTGCAGCGGTTGTATCGCCACCAGTAAGTAGCTCTAGAGATTATAAAAGATGAATGTAATTTCTACAAAAAGCACTCCCAGACAGACTAGGAACTACCCATGGATAATTAGCTGTACACTGGGAAATTATAGGGCTGCCCGCTTTGCAGCCGGGTATATACGCTCCAATCCGCCGTGTGAATATTGAAAAATAACTTAAATCCTCTCGGCTTTGAATGCTGCGGCGAGGCTCGTGCAAATTTGCAAGGAATTCTTGGTGCAAATTTGCAGGAGGTTCTTGTTGGCCAAGAAAAGAAAAGGACGGTATATGAAAAGGATTTGTGCCCCCTCTGTCTCCCCCCCACCCCCAGGTTATATCGGAGCAGAGTCTTGCAGTTTCCCTTTCTCTCGCTCGTGTTTTTCTTGCTCGGAAACCACAACTCGGGGCAATTTTTGTCAGAGCGGGCAGGGCAGAAGGGCTTTCAGGCGTGGTGCTTCACAGCCACATACTCGGTCTGAAACGAAAGGTGAGAACTCACGTTGTTGACCCTTACCGTGTGTTTGCAAACTCTCGCACTTATTTGCTGCTTCTCGCAGCTCTGCTGGGAGAAACGAGTAGGGTAACGCTGGGGGCTATCATAGATGACAACAAAAGGAGATCCAAAAGCTTAGCAGCTCCTTTTCCCAGGGCGTTTGCAGCCGGTGATGCATCTGAGCGTGCAGCAGAGCCCGCTAGAGTTAACACTTGGCTAGCGGTTACTTTACAGAGTGTTTTTGCTCTTTCAGTATGACTCTGAAAATGAAATGCTGAATGCCTAATCCAGCCCTGTGCCCACAAGGGATACTTTTAACACGCAAAGGCCAGCGGTAGGGCTGCTTTTGAACTACTGCTGCCTTGCAAATGGGTCAAATTCAGCCTGCAAAGCTGAGCAGCTCTCCCAGGGCTCCAGCGTGTTCCCACGTTTCTGCCGGTGCGAGCTGGACCCAAGCGGGAGCTGACATTTGGATGCGGTTTACATTTTGGCTCCGAGCCTGGGCAAGTGTAACAATAACGGTCACTTTGCTGGATCGGCCAGGCTGGAGCCTAGCGATGCGACGGCATTTTTGCGAAGCTGCCGCTTGCCAAAAGTTGCTTTCTCAAGAGCCTGTTTATTTTCCAGCGCAGCTCCACAGGAAACGGGTAATGCCAAGCGTGATGGATTTTGACGAGAGCAGCGTTTTAAATGCTCCGAGAGGCTCCGTGTCGTGCTGGGGGCTGAGGAAGCACTTTACCTCTTGGACGTGTCTCACGGCTATGCGCGTCCTGGTTTTCTTGGCTTTCTCAGCTGCGGGAAAGCAAAGAGAGGAAGTTAGAGGTGGGGGATCGAGGGGCTCCCCCGGGTACGGGACCGTAAGAAGGGTTACCTCCGGTGAGACGCTTCCTGCAGACCAGGAGCACCAGCAGGATGCAGAGGAGGAGGCAGCCGCAGGGCAGCCCGACCGCCAGCGGCCAGAAAAGGCATTCTTCTGGAGCGCGGGAACGTGGCATGCCGGAAGGGAAAAAGGAGAATCAGAGAGGTCTGGTAACAATCACACTCATAGGAAATAATTGCAATATCCCCGTTCAGGGTGTTTGCGCTCCGTCGTGGGCGGTGGTAATAGCGCGAGTGTGAGGAAGGGTCTGCTTGCCCCCGTCGCTGCCTTCAGGGGTCATGTTTCAGTGACTCCAAACCTCCGATTAACACAATTAAGCTCCGTGTCTTGGCGCAGAGGTGAAATTAGAGAAAACGTCCTACCTGGCTTGCGGACGCCGGCGCTGACGCTGCGCCCCGTGCCATTCGAGGTGGCCGTGCATGTGGCCT